ACGAAAAAGGAAGTTACAGGAATGTAATCTGCTAGAATAGGATTACACAGCAGATAGCTATGTATCTAATCCTTTCTAGTATATGTTTGATACTAGAAGGTTTAACAAGCCATGGCATCACATAAAAGCTCTCTGCTGTCACCCTTAAGTTTTAGAGTGAATAGAGCAACGTTTTTGTGGTTGAGTGGTGGTGGTTATGGTAGATTCTATTCTGAAGAGCTAGTTATTTTTTAAATGGTGCAACTCTCTCTCTTGCACTTCCTCCCTCGGTTTCTCTTTTCTCTATTAATTTTATCAGAAAATTGTCAGTTCAGATGAAAACCTGAACCCCTTTGCATTTTGAAAGTTTGGTGTTTGGGGTAATTGAGCTTCATCCGCCATGTGACTATTTTTTTTAGGAATTTGTGTTTCTGTATGGAACATTGATTGTATCATATCAAATGCTTTCACCTAAATAAATGAACTAGACCCAGGGGGGGGGGCGTGATGTTGGCACAGGGGGGGTCAATGAAGTTCTTGAAGAGATGTTATGATTTAAATCTTAAGTTAAATCTTGGCGGCCTGTGGTCATGGTCCGTGGCCACAAAAGGGGGTCCGTGGTGAAGAAAAAGGTAAGAACAACTGAACTAGGGGATGAATTATTTATAAACAAACCAATGAAAATGCTATTGAATTCTGCTGCACATTTAGGTTTCTTCTCCTAAGCCTAAAATATTTTTGGATGAGAAGAGTTTTCCATCAAAACATTTGCTTTAAAATTATACATAAGCTGCATGTCTTTGACAGGAAGAGAATGATAAAATATGATATAGGTCAATATTGATGTAACAGGTACAAATAGGGTATCCAAATAACTATTAGTCAAACAATAGTTATGCATTTAAAGAACAGCTATGAACCCAATTTAATTTGACATCGCAAATTAAAAACCGTTAATACATGTCAGAAAAAGGGCATAAAGAATGTTAACTAGGACCGCAGCTATTTTTTCCAGCCTGAATTATTTCTCATTAAAAACACATTTGCACGAAGTGCCTGTGTTGATAGGTTCAAATCAGAACTAAGTTCCTACTATATGCTTGATATGCTATGTGATAAAAAAAAAACCTGAACAGAACATATGCAAATACACTATTAACATCTACAAGTTAAATAATTTTTTCTCTCTTAAAACAAGGGAAAAAATGTTCCATTTTTTGTTTTGTTGAAATGGACAAGTCAATGTGCCAGAAACCTTGACATCAGATGTCAAGTATCAGGAAAATCCTAGGAAAAAATGCAATTATTTCTACTTCTGGCAGGGAAACATGTCACAATATAGCCCCAGGATAAAGTGGGCACTATTGTTTCTATGACCACATATAATCTTCTCCAATCAGGCAGCTCCAGATGTGTCAACTAATGTCCGTAATTCTCCAGAAATACAGCCACTACTGAGAATTTTGAGGAATTAACCACATATTTGGTGGACATCCATGTTGAAGAGAGAGTTGTAGAAGAGTCCTAAAGATATTTTTTGTCTTTGTCATGTATGGTGAGAAGTTCAAGTGCATTTCAGAAATGATGAGTACAATAGCGTTTTGTATATCAATTATTATGAATTTGTATTTAATATAAAATATTAGAAGTATATTAATATACAATAGGAGTACAATACAATATTAACAGAAGGATATGAAGATATGAAAGGTAATAGATATGGATACCACTAAACTCTAGAACTAGGATACTTATATACCATATTGGTTTCATCTGCCAACACAGCCCCAGTGTTTAGATGTGATCCATAAGACTATGCTCATACATTAAAATTGGCTTCCAATCATCTAAAGAATCATCCCTGACTACATTTTCTGGGTACTAACATGGCTTTTTTTTTCTAACATGCTGAGCCAAAATTCTTTTCTTGTATATATTCAGCGATCAAAGCTGCCTTCAAGCTTTTCTCAAGTTTACAAATGATTGTAAAATAATCTAGTCTTTGTAGATCAGCGATTCCCAAACTTTTCTATACCCCGCACCCCTAGAATGCTTCTGATATATTCTTATACCCCTTACGAAAGTTCGAAATAACGGCAACAAATTATGCATATACACTATAATTTTGAAAACCCAAGTTTTCACACCTCCTGGAGTATCGTCTCGCGCCCCCCAGGGGATGCAGGAACCCCTGTTGTACATAAAAGGAGAAGTTTTGCAAGGAAGGCAGGCAAAATTCTTGACTGGATTCTTGCATGCATGCATCTTGAGCCAAGAATGCAGATACACAACCTAACACATGAATAGCATAGATAAGATGAAACTATGTATACCAATGCATTGTCTAGTTCAGTTACAAAGTAACTTTCATCTTCATCTAATTTTGGGCAAATCAAATGCTCATCTACTTTTGCGATATAAAGCAATAATACATGTTCGCTCTCTGAGTATAATGAGCTGCATGGAATGCTTTAGTGCAAACAAGATCCTTAACGATTTTCTACTTATAATCACTTTTGCCTTGCAGCCCCCCAAACTAGGGGCGTTAAGCAGGCTCAAGTCTCTACTGTGATACATTACAAATTCAAATTTCTTTTTTGTTGACAAAGAGACTAGAATAGCTATTTTGAGCTTATTTTGCTCTCATCAGCTAGCAATACCCTCTATGGGATTCAAACCTGAACAGCCTACATGCGAGGTATATCTATCTATCTGTCTATCTATCTATCTATCTATCTATCTATCTATCTATCTATCTATCTATCTATCTATCTATCTATCATTCTTACTAACATAGTATGACTTACTACTATGCACCTTTCATATAATTTTATGCCTACTGAACTTTATGACAATAGTTTCCACTTTAAATGCACAGGACAAGGATTGACCATACTGAAGATATATCAGCCTCTTAACTAAAAATTAGCCAGCTACCTATTTTTACAGACAAATATAGATTGCTCCTATATATAGTAGATCTCAGTGAGGTATGGTAATCCCTATAGGGGCTTAGCTTTAAAAATCACTACATTTAGTTTTTATTTCCCCTGGTATAATAACATTCCAGATGCTGAAGCAATTACTGCAATCTTAAATATTATCAAGAGGAAGGCACAGAAGGCAGGCAGAAACCAAGGAGACCACAGCTGTAAAAAGTTACTGGATTGTTTGCCCAGTCCTATCATGTCTGCCATCTTTATGATATTTCTCTTTTAATTTTTCTAATGTATTTTTCCATGTGCTATCATTGATGAAGCAAGCATTGGAATTAACAGTCATTCTATTGGCACAGAGGCAGCATAGATTAGGCACAGATGACTGGGCATAGAAAAAATGAAAAGCTGCTTGATCCCATGGGCAGTTCCTTTTGAACGACAGTTCTCTTTAAAAATTAAAATCACTTCTTGCATTTCCAAAAGTTATTCTCTTCATTAAAAACAAGACCCCACCAGGAAGTTGTCATCCAGAAGCCCCAGTGAAATGAATACATTTGAGCATCCTGAATTAGGTCTCACAATGAACCCTCCATCCTGTCCCAAATCTTCAATCTATGGCAACTTTATCTTGGTTCATAGTAATTGTGACTGCTTCCATTAAAATAAGCACCTCCATCGCTAAAAAGACATTTACAATTTTTTTTCTTTTCCATTTATTTCATTAGATGTGGTACCTACTGCTTCTCCTTAGATAATGCAGAATTTCTCCTCTGTTTCTGCCTAATACAGAGGGCATGGTGGCTCAGTGGCTTAAAAGACTGGAGAAGTCTGTGCTCCAGTGGTTCGAGTCCTAGCACCGTGTGATGGAGTGAGTCCCTATCACCTGCCTCAGCTTCTGCCAATCTAACAATTTGAAAGAATGTAAATATGAGCAGATAAATAGGTAGCAAATAAATAAATAGCAGATGAATAAGTTCAGTGGGAAGGTACCAGCGCTCCATGTTTTGCTGCACTGTGCTGTGGCATGATGTCATGTTGGCCGCATGACTGCAGAAACATTTTCAGCCAGCACTAGCTCAATGGTCTAGCAACAGAGACGAACACTACCCCCTAGAGTTGGACTAACAGAATCAAACTCAAACCTTACCTCATACATCTTCCATATCTGGATATTTAAAAAGATAATAGTTTTAATTTACACCAAGAAATGGCACTGGATGAATTAATCCTAATCTGTGCTTTGTGTATGCAATTTATTTCTTTTACTTTTAAATCGACAAAGAAATACTTCTAAACCACTTGGCAATTGGAGCTTGCCAAGCTAAACCTCATTATCAACCCACACATCTCCTATATGTTTCTGTAAATCATGGGAAGGCGACCTGGTAGCTTTAAAGAATTTCACTCCATCCAATCCTGGGCATGATTTCACATGTCTACTGCAGGCAGTCATTTGCGAATTCTGACCAAAGTGATCTGTTTCTTCCCTGTGCCCTGCTTTGTGAGAAAGAAAGAAAGAAAGAAAGAAAGAAAGAAAGAAAGAAAGAAAGAAAGAAAGAAAGAAAGAAAGAAAGAAAGGAAAGAGAAGAGAATATAATACAGAAAGAGCGAAAAGGAAGAAAAGAGGGAAGGAAAATGTTGGCCATTATTGTCATGCATGAAGGTCAAGTATCTCCAAAAGATTGCTGTTGTGAGAACATGGCCATTAAGAAAGGGAAAAAAAACCCTAACATTCATTCATGTAATGATACCACTTGGTATCATTAGACTTAGAAATCAATAAATTAAAGGTGTATGTGTACGTGTATCTCTCTCTCTCTCTCTCTGTGTGTGTGTATGTTTGTGTGTGTATGTATATGTGTGTTTCTCTATCTATCTATCTATCTATCTATCTATCTATCTATCTATCTATCTATCTATCTATCTATCTATCTATCTATCTGCAAAAGGTTGTATGTATACATTTCAAACCACAATAGTTCAATAATTCAATTTAGAAAGGGAAGAGAAAAGTAGGCAAAACAGGAAGTTAATGTGATTGAAAGAAAAAAAATGCATATACACTTGTTTATGTTCTCTTACCTTCCAACTACTTTTATGTCGGAGATTGCATAAAAGTAGCGTGTCAAATGCTGCGGATCCACATATAATTCCCCAGTTGCTGGCCTGAGCAGTCTTATCCTCAAGTCTGTGACAGTAAAGAAATCTCTTAGGTTCTTGGTTGTGTCGAGCTGCCCATAGAGAGAAGCCATATTATGAAGCCGAGGCCCAGCAAAAAATGCAAATCTATCCTTAATCTCAAAGTGGAGGATTTTACTGTTTGCCATGTACCCTGTGGAATATTCTTCTGTGCAAATGATTTCTAGGACTGACTGTTGAGATAAATCCCTCACTGTTTTTGGTTCCATGTTAAAAGCATTTAGACAATCTGTAGCATAATATTGGTATGGCTGCCATGTCCGACCATAGTCGAGGGACTTCTCCAGGATCATTAGGTCTGGGCGGCCAGATTCAAAGGTGATAACTATATTGTCCGTGAGTTCGATGGTTTTGTTCCAATACAAGGTAATGTTCACTTGGAGAGGCTTTGGGTAACCCTTCCATGTGGTCGACTGCCAAAAGGTGTAGGGATGCCTTCCTTCAGCATCAAACATCAGTTCGGGTGGATGTGCCAGTTCGTCAATGGTTGCATCACACTCATTGCACATGTAGGGATTCCCCTGGAAAGAAGGGGGGAAAAACAGCTGTAAGAAGTGTGGTTGCCAGGATGAAAGGTTTCTGAGAGAGCAGAGTAACTGGTTTTCATTAGCAATAGCACTTAGACTTACATACTGCTTCACAGTGCTTTACAGCCCTCTCTAAGTGGTTTATAGAGTCAGCCTATTGCCCCCAACAATCTGGGTCCTCATTTTACCAACCTCAGGAAGATGGAAGGCTGAGTCAACCTTGAGACGGTCAGGATCGAACTCCCGGCAGTGGGCTGAATTAGCCTGCAGTACTGCATTCTAACCACTGCTGCATCACAGCTCTTACCTATTCAGCCTATCAAAAAAGAACTGGCAAATGCTGCATGCTGGAAAAAGCAGTAGTTTAGGTCAGGGTGGAGAACTAATAGCCCTTCAGTTGGCGATAATTGTACAGTTTCCAATAACCAGTAGCCTTGATGGCTGAGAATACTGGGAACTGTTCTGTAACATCTGGAAAGCCACAGTTTCCACCCCAATTTCAGTATTTTAAGATATTCTTTGATATACAGAGTACCCTACACTCTGAAATTAATTAAAAAATGGATGAGCAGGGGTGAAGTTTCTTCAAAACCAAATTATATGTATTTACCGGATTTCTTTGCATTTCCCAGAAATCCTTTAACTCTGTAGAGTCTTCTTTTAGCTATACAAAAGGGAAAGACTAAGTTGTTCTGAGCTGCCAGTGATTCACTCTGGGATTTCTCTCATGCCAAGAATGGGTTCTATCACTGAACCTCAAATATGTAATTCTGGATTTTGGAATTCTTCCTGCAGGCCAGATTTCAATTCTGAATTTTAATAGAAGCTTTGCAAACACATCATTTTATAAAAGGAAAAGAATAAAGAGATCAGAGCTCTTAAATAACAATAACAATTAGGCATGATGAAAAAATAAAAATAAACTTCTCAAATTTTGAATTTCAAGAAGCAATCCAGTTTTCTGTTATTTAAGGCAAGGGTCCTCAATCTTGGCAACTTTAAGACTTGTGGACTTCAACTCCCAGAATTCCTCAGTCAGCAAAGCTGGTTGAGGAATTCTGGGAGTTGAAGTCCACAAGTCTTAAAGTTGCCAAGGTTGCGGATCCCTGATTTAAGTCACCTATGCAAAGTCATCATACACAGAGCCATGTGGAGGAAGTAACTTTTGATGTGGCTGAACAATAATGAGGGCAGTGTTCTAGGCAGTGTACCCCCACTTTGTTACTTCATGTTAAACCCTTGTGTTTCTCTACATGACTACACTAGAACAAATATTACATTTTCTACACCTGCTAGTCTTAAATGCTGCTTGTTTTCCAGCATTCCTCAAATATGCAACATGCAAATGGGAAAATTAATAATCTCTATCTTTGTGTATGATAACATTCTTAAAGAGTTAAGAAAGCAAAGAATGTGGCATTGGGTATAATCTTCAGTTTGTAAACCACACACCCAAAAAAAGAATTCTAGATATATGGGATAAGATGTGCTTGAAAAATTATGATTGATGTTTGCTGAAATTTCAAATGTTTCAAAGATAGTTACAAGTATTCAGTGGATGAAAGCTGGACTGCAGTGTCCTGGATAGCTTTTGGGTCAACCCATTAATATAAAATCCAAATTATGCACAATAATTTTAAAAATCAGATGGTGAAACATGGGGAAGAAGCATTCAACTTAGCATTAAAATACACATTTTGTAAGCAGAAGGTTCTAGATTTAATCTTTGGTTTCTCAAAGTACAGTTGAGAAAAATCTGTTTTAAAACTCTGGAAAGTTGTTACCAGTATTGTCTCAGAAGAGGGCAACTTCTTGTTTTCTTACGACAAATGACAAAATAGGTTATTCTCAGCATAGAAATTGAATTATTTGGGTTCAGATTCTATTTTACTTTGTTCTCGGATTTCTGACAATAAGAAACTTTCATGAAATCAAAGGCACAGTCCAGCTGTGCTTAAGCACTGACAAATTCTACTGATTCCAGGAGCAAAAATGGAATTTATTTTGGCAGGATAGTGTTTCAATCAAATGCAGTTATGCCCAGAATCCAATTTTTCCCCAACATCCCTCAGCATTATATCGATGACTATATATTACACTTACCTCACTGTAGTTATTTTACAGCTGCATTTTTACCTTATCAGACTGGACTTTTCCAATAAAACAAAATGCCTGATTTATTTATTGGAGTAAGAATTATCTTGCCTTGCCACTTGCTTCGACAAAACCTTTCCACACAATTTTGTGCTTAGGAAATGCTGATGTTCCGCTCAGTAGGATTTCAAGAGGAAAAATTAATATACTCTGAGCAAGCTGCCTATAATCAACTCACAAACAATGGACAACAATGCTCCTTCTTGGAAAGGATATTGCTTATCAGCACAATTCATATAAATGGTTCCTTCTAACTCAAATGGGTTGAAGCCTATCATACAGGGTGTGGGGATTTCTTTCTAAAACAATGCCAGTTACACCATCTCCTTTCCCCTTTGTCCCTTGCCTGTACTATGTCACACCTAACAGTCTGCTCTTTACGGATGTCTTCCTTTAAAGACATTTATGCTGTTCTCTACAAATCATTCCATGGTGCTGCATACTACAAGCTTAGAGACTTGGTCCAGGCATCTGCTTGCATATTAGCTGCTACAGGCTAGCAAACTACTTGACATAACCCCTTCCTCGCTCCCTCCTCCTTGCAATCCCGTAGCTGCTTCTTCAATTTATCAAGGCCAGGTAATCCGCCACTTGATTAGGTAGGTGATGACAACAGCTCAGGCTGGATGGCAGCCTGAGGTAGTAGCTGGAGATATGAACTTCGTGTTTATATATAATCTCACCAATAAATGAGCAGCTTTTATTGCAGCTCTTTCCTCGGTAGCAAGGTGAAAGTGAATTATTCTCCTCTTGACCTTTTCCCCACATTAACTTGAGTTGCTGCCACTTTTGCCTTCATAGCAAAAGGCCATCTCATTTGGAGCCTGGGAATGCAGCTTGAGTATAGCTGTTCCATGAGCATTACAGCTGGCTCAAAGTCCGTGTCTCTTAAATCATCCGTGTATCAATCAGATCAGCTGCTGCTGGCAGCTCAAATCCAATGGATTGCAAACTGTGACACATGGCTGCAGTTTAATGCCGACCTTGTTACTGGCAAACACAGCACAGACTCTGTGACACTTTGAAGAACCCCACAGTCTTACAGATAGATCTGGATGAAAATGAATTTGCTCCATCTTAGGGCACAAGACAATTGTGAGCCAGCATGTACTGTAGGAAGTTCAAGATACAGAAGTGGAAAAAAAAAAGTGGAAACTTTTTTTTCCCCCTAACTGGTATGGCTTAACTATGATAACATTCCATCCTGGCTTTTCTTCACAGAGGCATATATTCTCATTTCACCCCCAATCCTGGACTGAGAGCCCAAAACCAACTATGAGCTTCTGTGGCTAAAGATGAACTTAAACCTGTTCTCCCCAAAATATCCCAAAATGAAGAGGGGGGGGGGGAATATCTCCAAGCTGTGAAACTTTTCCTTTCCAGGGAATTCAAGTAATCTTGAATTCCTTGAAGGAGATCATGGTTTCAGTGCCTTGCCTGCACTGCTAAAAGAATCTCTAAGGGCCATTGACAACGTCTCTGTGAATAACAGATGTTGCACATATGTATTATGGGCAATATATTTACTTAACTGCTGCACTAGAGATGCACGATTTTATTACCTTATGTTGTAACTGGGCCAGTGGACACATCTGTAATTTGGAGAGGGTCTTATGGAATCTCGCAGCATGATTAATTAATTTTATTTTTATTTGATTAATTCTATTTATATGGCCACCTCTCTCAACATAGGAATTCTGTGCATCTAACAACATTTAAAATACAGACAACATAAACAGCAACTATATAGTTTGCCACAAGTGAATCACTTACCGGGTTATAACTAATAGTTTAAACCCCATATCTGGGAACAGATCCAGGTTTTCAAGGCTTTGAGAAAAGTTGGCAGACTTGGGGGGCCTTCTAAACTCAGGGGAAGTGTTGTTCCAAAAGGCAGGCACTGTACCAAAAAGAACACACTTTCTGAGTCCAGAAAGATGGCATTTTTTAACTAGCAAGACCCTCAAGATGCTTCTGCATGGGGCAGATAGAGATAATTGGGAGAGATGGTCCTATATATAAACCTAGCCCCATGCAGCGGTAGGTGCAGCCAACTCTCACCCCACATGAGAGTACCATGCTGGGGACCCAGGAATTAAGGCACAGTTTCTCCATTTAGATCAGTGGTTCTCAGCCTGTGGGTCGGGACCCCATTTGGGGTCGAACGACCATTTCATGGGGGTCGCCAAACAACGCAGTCACCATTTTCCCCCCTTTTCCTTAGCTGTGCTATTCCCTTTTATTCTATTGACTTTTGAAAGCCAATAGAATAGACTCTCTTGAATAGAGCTTTCAAAAGCCAATAGGAATTGTCCAGGCTGTCTCTGCCCTGCTGAGCCCACCAAAAGTCCCATTCTGCAAATGGTGCTGCACCAGTTGAGTAGTCCTCGACTTATGACTGGTTGAGTAGTCCTCGACTTATGACCGGTTGGGGGTCGCGCATTAAAAAGGTTAAGAACCACTGATTTAGATAATAGAACCTTTTTGTATGTGAATCAGAAAGATGAACGTGTCTAGGGGCTTGTATTGTGTTGCTGTGACATTTGTTTCACCGTTTTGACAAACGGGGCGTTGTCTTACCTGAACGCCTTTTCTCAGCAGGATGATGTAGAGTCCAAATGGATGGGTTCTATGACGGCCTTCCTGCCTGGCAGACTGGGTAAAAACTTCGGCCACACCCCTTCCTTTGGGCGTGACCCCAGTTTTGACTTAGGCGAGAAACTTTGTTGGAATTAACCTTGCAGCTCTTTATTATATCTTTATTATAACCCTGCCTAGACCTATCCTCTGGGTGGGCTTGGACTCTACATCATCCTGCTGAGAAAAGGCGTTCAGGTAAG